ACTTACTGGACGTCTCGGACAACCCAGCTTGTTAGGGAACCGTGTTTTCCTAGGCTGACTGAAGGCAGTGGTGCTGGGCTGGATAAGCAAGAGTGAGCGGGGGACCTCTGGTCCAGCATGGGTGGGCACAAAGGGCACGCTGTAGGCTGCTCCCAGGCGACAGAGTAGCTGGGAGCAGGCCCCAAGAGCACTGCGCTGAGGGGCTGGATTCCTGAAGCAGCAGCCAGATCCAGGCTGTCCCCGTCTTCCATTCCTTCCATCCATGCAGAAGGGAATGGTCCCTTCTGACTGTAGAACCACCAGACCACCTGGGGCCTGAGTTACCTCCAAGCCGAGAGTTGCAGGCAGGGGTGAGGGGCCTCTCTTTTTTCCAGTTTTGTTGTATCTCATCGAGGTTGATGACACCCATCCACGTGGTGAGCTCCTTCCACACTGGTACACTTCTGCACTTGTCCATGGACCTTGGCTCTGCTGGTTCCCCCACCCCGGTGTCCGGCCACCTTCTCTGGTGACTGGCCAGCTTCTCTGCTGGGAGTGTGGCTTTCCCTGAGGATCCCACATGGCATCGGGCACATGCTTCCAGGGGCCAGTAGCCGACCCCCCTGCACATTTTCACCCTGATGTACAGATGCTGCTCGGCGCTGGATTTCCCACCTCCAGCCCAGGACAGAGGACATGCATGCTTCCTACTTGTGTGTCTAGAACAGCTGTTCTCCTGCGAGACACAGTGCCACAGGACACAGGACACGGTGCAGGGGACAGCTGACATTGGTAATGTTGGTCTCTCTTAGTGTGGTTGTGGAAACTGGCTGAGTTCCTGAGTGCAGCAGCGTTCCCCTTTGGGCACCTGGATGTACTGAGTAGTTACCTGTCCTCTTGGCTGCCAACTGGTCACTGTTCTGTCTCTGCCTCTGGGAAGCAGAGTGGGTGTGATGGGCTGGTCACTGTGTACTTCCCAGAAATGCATGAAGGTTTGCTAGCTCGGTGCCTTCGACCCACCGTGAGGAACTGGAAAGGGGCAGACACCACCGTGATCCCAGAGGCTTGGTGGTACTCGTCACTGCGGCAGCCTGTGCTCTGTGGAAGGTGCGGGAACAGTCTTTGCTTCTTCCCTCCTGATGGCAGTGAGGACTGGGGCTCCAGAAGCACGGACCTGAGGAACCTCTGCAGGTGCTCCCTGTGCCCTGCCTTAGACGTTTCCTTTGCTCTTTGCTGCCTGAGAAGCCGGCTCACTTTCCTGGAGATCACCATTGCGTACTCTGAGCCTTTTCCAGAGCTCCACCCCCTACGGCACTGAACCGCACTGAACCCAGCAGGAGGGGAGCGCTGGGCTCCGGCCTCTCCCCTCCCTCCTTCCCAGCTCCTGCCACAGAGCAGCCCCTTCCTCTTCCCCCTTGCCCTTGCAAATCATCCCACCCAATCACGAATTAGTTCCCTGCAGAGGATGTGTGTGCTTTATACACACACACACACACAACCAAGATGCTCACATACATCTTACTGCCCGGCACGCACATCCAGTCAGCTTTCTTAGCGCCAGGGGAAGATTCAGGCTGTCCCTGTCTTCGTGCCTTCCATCCATGCAGTCCGATGGCCCGATTCTGCCTTCCTGGCCCAGTGAGGTTTTTTTTTTTGAGCCTGCCCACGAGACCACGAAGTCTCCGACGTTCACATTATTCTTGTGACAACATCTTTGTACCCTTTCGTCCTTCTTCTTGTTTTTGTTGTTGTTAGATGCCATCCAGTTGGCTCCAGCCCCCAGTGTCCCTGTGTATAACAGAACGAAAGACTGCCGGGTCCTGGACCGGCCTTGTCATACCCGAGCCCACTACTGCAGCCGCTGTTGAGGGTCATCTTGTTGAGGGTCTTCCCCTTTTTCACTGACCCTCCACTTTACCAAGCATGAGGTCCTTCTCCAGGGAATGGTCCCTTCTGATGACATGATCAAAGCAGGTGAGATGAAGTCTGGCCATTTTCGCATCCAAGGAGCATTTCAGCTGCACTTCGTCCAGGATGGACTTGCCTCCTTGTTAGGGAGGCGGAAGTCCCTGGTTCCCAGGCAAGGAAGTCACCATTAGGGATCATTTATGTGTGGCACCTTGTGACTTGACTTCTTTACAACTGACTCTTCCTTGCACATTTTCCAGCACACGGATTTTTCCCACCAGGTACTGGTTTTTACCCATGGCTAATCACTGCCACCTGTTTCTCTAGACATTAGCACTAATCTTGCTAATTTCTCCAACACCCCAGGGCCGCAGCTCAGACATTTGAGCGCCTTGCTTTAATCAAGGTCTTTTGTATCCAAGTTGGAGCCTCTCTTCCACTAAGCGTTAAGGGTTTCGCCTCATTTGTAAAGCCTGTCTGTTGTGTCCTCACAGTTCATTCTCAAAATCAGAGCCTTGTCAATTCAAATTGGCTTAGGGTCTTGTTTGGATTTTCATGTTTCCGTTCACTGGTTCTCCTCTACGTCTTCTGCCCTGAGAGCTGTGAAGTGACCTAGAAAACTGAGCCATCTTAGGTAAAAGGCTCCCAGAGCCTGTGGTTGGAGCCGGGTGGTGGCTTTGGTTTTTGTTTGATGCTTTTTGGTTTATGTTTGTTTTGCTGATGGATGTCAACCTCGGTTTTCATCAAAATTCCTTTAGTGACAAATTCCCGGAACCACTGCAATGGCATCATTAATTGAGGTAGCCGTGGGAGGACAGAAGGGCAGTGCTTGCACAGGGAGACAGTGCGTGGGAGGGAAGGACACAGGGAAGAGGTGACTACCGGGAGGAAGTGGCAAGAGAGCGGTTCCATTGTAGGGAATTGCAGTCAGTGTCATGACGCAAAACTGCTGGATGGAAAAGGAATTTGCTCTTTAAACTTCTACTCAAGTCACAATAAAAATTTAAAAAAAAAATTGAGTTAGCTTCATAGAGACTCTTGTTACCCTTACAGGCGTGATGGATTGTAACAGGACTGCACTGTGGTGGGCGGGGCTGTGGTTAGTTTGCTGATAGATTACCAAAGAGTGAGTTCACTTGCAGAGTAACTCTCCTGACTGGCAGATCTTTGTTCGATGACTCTTATTATGTGAACTAAAAAGCCAAGAAGAGCCCCATGCCTACCATTGATTTTCCTCCTATGAGTCATTCTTGAAAAATTGAATTTAGTATATTTATTCCAAGTAAATACTTCAAAAAAAAAGTGTCAAAGCTACGGCATCTTTCTCATAAACATGAAGTTCAAGACTGTCCCCTAAACATTCTGGTACAGCTTCTGGGAGGGGCTGCCTCCAGCTGGGTGAGGGGCTGGTGTCCCTGTGCACCCCCAGGAACCAAGAGAAAAATGGCAAGCTCTGCTGTTTAATAGTTTAAATAAAAATAGTTTGTGTTCCCCAAAAAAGATAGCTTTTAGTGTTTTTCCAGGTATAAATGCATGTATTAGAGTGGACATGATTTTCACTCCACTTGTTTCTCCTTTCCTCCTGGAGCCTTGCCTTTATTTGCAGGCTTAGAAGAGGAGGAGGAATGGGGACACCGGGAGGGAGAGGGAGAAATGACATTACATTGAGGGGTTGCCATCAATGACATGAAGCAAAATGTGTGTGATCTGTTGAATGGGAACCTGATTTGCTCTGTAAACTTTTACCCAAATCACAATAAAAAGTTTTTTAAAAAAAGGAAACAGAGAACATCAGGGAGCATCACTTGGGGTCAAAGCAGGATTGTTTCACAAAGTTACAGATCTGTAAACAGAACAACCTCACCAACTGTGTATCTTCTTGGGGGACACAGTTTACAAAATGGAAAAACATACCATGAAAGACTTCTGAGGAAAACGCTGCCCTGGAGATAGTTATTGGTCCCCAGGAAGCTATGCAGTGAGAGGCCCTGTGCTGGTTTGACATGCTCCTTCGGTGCGTGCTGTTCCTCCTCCTCTCTCTCTGATCCACTCCTTCCCTCCGCCCTTCCCTCCCTCCCTCTCTCTCAGTCTCTCCCTCCCTCCTTCCCTCCCTCCTCCCCCTCTCTCTCCCTCCCTTCCTCTCCCTCCTTTCCTTCCTCTCCCTCCCTTCCTTCCTCTCCCTCCCTCTCTCTCTCTCTCTTTCCCTCCCTTCCTCCTTCCCTCCCTCTCTGTCTCTCTGTCACACACACACACACACACACACACACATGTCCTCAAGGAGACATTCCCATTAGGTTCATAGACTTTTAAAAGAGCTTTATTTTTCAATAAACTAAATTAAACAACAAAAATGGACAAGAAGAATGACCATTCCAGACGTTTGTGATAGGAGAATTCTGTGACTCTCTCTTCCAGTCTCACAGACAGGGAAACTGAGGCCCAAAACAGAAAAGACTCATCTTCTGGGTCAGGAAGTGGCAGATGTAGCACTAAAAGAAGTCACCAGTGCCAACCCTGGGACTGTTTATTATCTAATAAATCACTAATGTGCAATGCAGGAAAATTCCAATACAGGTTAATAAAGATGAAAAACACAAAGACATTTTTCTTTCAAAATTATGACCACAATACGAGTAATATTTAACTTGGTTTCCTTATTACAGCGTTCACACACTGCTGACTCTCTCCAGTGACTCAGTGATAGAGTTCTCGCCTTCCTGGCCACAGCACCTCGTGTGTCCATCCGTGGACCCGTGAGTGTGCGATCGTGCTGAGCAGGTCAGCAGAGCTTCCAGACTATGAAGAACGTCCTGCCGACCTACTGTGGGAGACCAGCCAGTGCGGCCCTTACGGTCCCAGTGGTCCCACCTGTGACCAGTCACGGGGACGGCCCCAGACTGGGCACCGCTCCTTCCACTGTGCGTGGGGTTGCTCTGCCATCACCAACAACAAATAGAGAAGCAGGGACCGACTTGGCCACAGGTAACACCACCAGCACCAGTGAAGGAACAGATCAGTGAGTGGCAGGTGTTTTCTAGCTGGGCAACCTCCCTCAACCCTCTGACGTTCTGATGTACTTCTGTGATTACTACAAGGACTTCTCAGCTAGCCACGGGTCTCTGACATGGCATGCCAGTTTCCTGACACCATGCGTCTGCTCGTGTTGTGCTCTCAGCCTGGGAAACCTTCCCACTCTCCACCCCATGCTTGGATCACTCCTACTCATCCTTGGAAACTCGGCCTACTCATCACCTCTTCCAGGAAACTTTCCATGAACACCCCCAAAACTAGGTTAAGTCCCTCCTAGGTCCTTCACCTACTTGCTTTAACCAGCTCTTAAGCATTGCCTTTGATGACTGCTTGGTTGACTCTCCACCCCGTGAGACCGTCAGTTCCATGGGCACGGCCTGTGTCTTGGTCGCTGGCTGTCCCTGGTGTCTGGCACAGAGGACGTACCGGAACATTTGGCTGGTTGAACGCAAGGCTCAGCCCGAGGTCATCTTTATTGTGACTTTCGGAGCCCTCCTCATCGAAGGTCTCCGTTCCAGGAGCCCTCATTCCAGGCAGCTGACATGCAGTGCACAGACAGCGGTGCTCGGCCGGCTCCTGCCTGGGTCACTGGGAGATCTTTCCACAGTGACAGGGAGCACAGGGGAGTCACGCTGTGTGCTTTGGATAAACAAAAACACCTCCTCTAGGGTGGGGCACTGGGGCACGCCTCTGGGATGTTTCCCTCCAGATCGTGGATATGGATACAGCAGCTATGGGTGTAGACGTGGGAGCTCTGGTGGTGCAGTGCCTAAGGCATTTGACTGCTAACCAGAAGGCTGGTGGTTCAAACCCTCCAGCCACTCCTTGGAAAGAAGGTTGGGCTATCTACTTCCATAGTGATACTGCCTTGGCAACCCAAGGAGGGGTCGCTATGAGTGGAATCCGACTCCACGGCAGTTGTTGTTGTTATGGATATAGATGTAGTTATTAATCCGTTTGCCTATGAGTCGGCCAAGAATGCATTGGATTCCAGCCACTCCTTGTCAATGCTGTTGTTGTGTCCACATTGCTCCTGAGGGGTCCAAGGTCATCCTAGCAAGCCAGGACTGAATTCCAGCCTGACCTTGACCCTCAGTGCACCTTAGACAAGCCCCTTTAGCCATAGTCCATGGTGGGGCTGAGGATGTTGTGTGGAATGCTGGCCCATCTGAAATGGGGGCTTAAGCTCCTAGACCAGACAGGAAGCACCAACCTTCCCCACCCCCCACCCCCAATCACTTACTTCATTGTAAATAAGGAGGCACAGACCGGTGGCTCTTTGATTGTAGGTGGAGAGTGTATTTGGGGAGGGTCTGCCTCACGTGTGCATTAATGGAATCGTCGGTAACAGCCTTTTTCAGGAAGGTGCAGGGTTTGGGGACCTGTGAGCTCCTTTTGCTTGGCTGGGCGTGTGTTTAGACAGGGGCCTTCTGCTGAGCTGAGAGCTGACACGGGGGGGGGCTTCTGGTTGAGTGTCCTCAGTTGAGGACAGTGCTCAGGGCACTGGCAGAGGTGGCACCGGGCCCAGAGGTTACAGAGCTGATGGGACTGACTGGGCACTGGCGGGCCCTGGGACTGCCTGGGCACTGGGACTGCCTGGGCACTGGGACTGACTGGGGGGCACTGGAGAAGTGCAGGCTCTCCTCGGCGTGGGGAGGCTGAGCCTTGGGCCCCCCTGCCGGCTTCTCTGACTCAGTTGCCCGCACACAGTTGTAGGTGAGGTCTGGGCTCCTTTCAACCTTTTTCGCCCTAGCATTGGACACTGTGACCGGGTTAGAGAGGCTGCATTCCTCATGCCCTTGGCCTTCCATCTTGGGGTAAATCCAGTGCAGGAGGTATTTCATCTTATTTACTGAGCTAGTTTCTGCAGCTTCTGCAAGAATGGGGTTTTCGTGAGTGTGGGCTATTCTTATCAGGCCTTGAACTCTTGACCTTGAAAAAAAAAAATGCAAAAACCAAACTCACTGCCTTTGAGCCGATTTGACTCATAGTGGACCCCTCCTTGTGTTTCGGAGGCAGTATCTTTACGGAAGTAAATTGCCCAATCTTCCTTCCGAGGAGTGGCTGGGGATTTTGACCGCCAGTCTTCTGGTTAGCAGTCACATGCCTCAGGCACTACACCAGCAGCCCTGAAAATTTTGACCCTGCAAATCTGGCTCAGAGACAGCTTTGTAAATCCGGACCCAGCAATATTTTGCCCTGTCAGGCCTGGCTCTGCAGAGTTTGGACCTGAAAAATAAGGTCCCTTCAAATGCTGGACCTGCAACATTTGGCCCAGTAAGTTGCCCTCTCAGGTCTGGCCCTTCGAGGCCTGGGGCACCCCAGGTTTGGCATTCTCAGGAAGCCTGGTTTGGGTGAGGTATTCGGTGTGCTTTCGGTGCCTTGCAGGTCAGTCTCATCTGGTCCTTTTGCCTCAGGACATCCTGGCGTGCTTTGGGACCTCCGGGTAAGGGGGAGGTGCTGACAGGGCCGCCACGCTGAAAGCTGTGCTCCCGCTAGAGCCTCTGGAGGGCTTCCGTAGCGGGCCCTCTGCTTACCCCTCAGCCTCGGCAGAGTGGCGTGCTCTCCGGCCGCGGGGAGCCCCAGCCCTTCGTCCGCTTTCTTTGTTGCTCTGCTGCCTTGAGTTCCCCTGGGTTCTCTTTTCTCTGACGTGGGTGGATGTGGCCTGCCCCCACAAATGCCTGACACTGAGGGTCCAGAACCTACCAGCCCGGGACCCCTCACTCAAACCTTCACCTGAGCCTAGTGCACCTGGGCACCTGCCATGTGCTGCTGGGTTGTGGGATCTTGAAAGCCAGACGCGGGGAACCATGGGACATGCTCTGGGACGAGCCTGCCTTTGGCTCTGCTGCACTGCTGTTCTCTGAGGCTGGCCCAGTCTGGGTCTGGAGCACCTGGGATGCCTGGCAGGGTGAGGGGCCCCTCCCCTGGACTTTAGGTTCCTAAAAGACCCCTCTCAAACTCACTGCCCTCAAGTCGATTCCGACTCACAGTGACCCCCATGGGATTTCCAAGGCTGTAAATCTTTATGGAAAAAGACGCCCTCATCTTCCTTCCAGAGTGGCTGGTAGGTTTGAACCACCGACCTTTTGGTCAGCAGTCAAAATCACTGCACCACCAAAACACAAACTCACTGCCATCGAGTCAATTCCAACTCATAGCGACCTCCTTTGGGTTCCCAAGGCAGTGAACCTTTACGGAAGTAGGCTGCCCAGTCTTCCTTCCATGGAGTGGCTGGTGGGTTTGAACCACCAGCCTTTTGCTTAGCAGTCAAAACCACTACACCACAAAAAAAACTCACTGCCATCAAGTCAATTCTGACTCATAGAGACCCCTTTGGGTTTCCAAGGCAGTAAATCTTTACGGAAGTAGACTGCCCAGTCTTACTTCCACGGAGTGGCTGGTGGGTTTGAACCTCCAACCTTCTGGTTAATAGTCAGACACCTTAGGCACCACACCACCAGAGCTCCTTAAAAGACCCCTGGGCCAAGATATTCTATAGGATGGCCACAGTGTTCCCTGGACTCTGATGTCTATGGATCTACCCACGTATATTTCCAGCATGTTCTTTCTCAAGTGGAAATTCAGTTGTCCAAGATGAGTGCCTTGAGTGAGCAGAAGTTAGTAGGGTCTGTCTGGGCGTCTAGAGGCACCATCTCCATCCACATGCACTTCTTTCTAGAAGTTTCACTGGCATCTTGAGAGGATTAACCAGGATTAGTGAATTGCTTTCCTGATGAGTCAGAGACTCTGTTGGGCTCTGCTTAGGTCCAGGTACTATCTCTGTAACTATAGATCGGCAAGTGATTACCAAGGCCACACACTAGAGACCAGGCAGCCCTAAAACGGGAAGGCCAACACACGTCCCCCTGAAAGTTTTCTAGTGGCATTGTGGGAGAGGGCGTGGGCAGCTCACGGTGGTCATGACCAAGTCAGAGGCCACTTGATGCTGTGGATCAAGTTCTGCAAGAAGAGTCACTGCTGGGACCCCTGGATGCTCAGTCCCAGTGGTTCCTCAGACCCCACAGCTGCAGAGGCAGGCAGGGACGGTTCTTTGGCAGATTTTCCTCGTTTGAGTCAACGTGTTTCTACCATAGAGCCCTGGCCTGGAACAGCACCCGCGGCACGGGGTGGACTCTGCTGCTATAACGCAGGAGAACAGGTCAGTGTCCCCATCTGCCTGTGGCGCGCGGGCTGGGAGACACTCACACTGCCCAGGGCTGTGGCTGCCCGGGACTGGGGCTTCTGGTCAGCCAGCATAGGCCCCTGGAGGATTTCTAGACCTTCTAGGGCAGGCCCCGCGATGCTGAGCCCATCTGCTGATCACCTACTTCTGGAGGTGGAATTCCAGCGGCCTCTGAGCAGGAAAGAGCTAGCTCCCCTTGAGGACTGAAATGGGCTTCCCAAACCAGGAAGGCCCCAGGCCTGGGGGTAGGAGCTACAGCATGGCTTGGTGGTGGTGGTGTTATGTGCTGTGGAGTCGGCCCCGAGGCACAGCGACCCCTCCTTGGGTTTCCCAGGCAGTATCACTATGGAAGTAGATTGCCCAACCTTCCTTCTGAGGAGTGGCTGGTGGGTTTGAACCGCCAGCCTTCTGGTTAGCAGTCACGTGCCTGAGGCACTACGCCACCAGAGCTCCCACAGTATGGCTTAGGGCTCTGCATGTGATTCTCTGGGCTCCACCTAGCAAGCCCCGCTGAAACTGAAGCTGCCCGCAGCAGGAGCGAGTCCGAGCTGCTCACTCGACCAGAGTCAGAAATAGGACGTTGATGTGGGCTTGGTGATGGTCAGGCGGATAAACCCAGCGGAGGAGGCGGGGGGGGGGGAGTGGAGCTGGCTGGATAAGGAGACGTTTGACGAGATAATTGAAGAGAGAGAGAGAAAAGGGGTCCAGAGGGGCTGGCACTCACTGTAAAGAGCGGGGAAGCCCCGGAGGGAGCAGGTATTTCCTCTGCAGATGGCTCTCTGAGGCCTAGCACGCCCCCCAGAGGATGGACAGAGACCCCCAAGAGCTCAAGGGTGGGACAGGAGAGCCAGACCCATGGGCTGGGAGTTCTTCCCAGTGGCCCTGTTGCTCTCGATCCATAGTGGATCTTCCAAAACCCCAAATGCTTAGGAGGGCTAGGCAGGAAACAGGTTTCTAGCTCTTCCACGGGGCTCTGGGGGGAGCATTTGCAATGTGGGGGGAGGACAGGAAGGAGCGTTCGGGATGGGTGTGGGTGGGGTGGGTGTTTTTCTAGACTCTGAAGACAACAGGCAGGGGTGTGGTGTAACCCCCCGGAACCGCTCCATGGATCTTGGAAGCTCACAAATGTGGAAGTGCCTCTGTCTATGTATGTTCTTAAAGAAGCTTCCGGGCTTGGAGGGTGAGGCACAGCGGGTGTGCAGAGAACACAGGCCCAGGGTGTGATTTGGCTGAGTGCAGAGAAGGCCGGGGGACCCAGTGTTCAAGGGATGCCGACCTTGTTTCTCCAGGGAAAATCCCGAGCTGCTCTCGTTCCTCTCCTGGCGGCTCACAGGAGCCCTGGGCTTCTCAAGCCTCGAAGGACACAGAGCTTGTGGGTCCCAGGACGCGTCTGGCAGTTGAACTTCCTGCCCGAGCTGCAGGTGTTCATCGCAGTCCTCGTGGGCGCTGACTGGGCCCGTTGACCGGGCAGCCGTCTGCGGAGAGGATTGCTGGTCTCTTGCTTGTGGCAGTGCGGGGCTTAGAGGTGCCAGTGAGTGCACTCTGCAGTGCCGGGAACCCCGCTGCCGACTCTCCTCAGAGACAGCAGACGTGGACAGAACCCCTAGGCAAGAGGGACGCAGTGACGCCCCCGCTGAGGTGGGGGCAGCCAGCGTGTTGTCACCCGTCAGCAGCTGCTGAATCTCCAGAGCCATGTCGTTGCAGATGTGGCAGCAGGGGTCTGCACACAGGAGCCGCCGCACATGTCCCTCCTGAGGAAGCCAGCCCTGGCTGGGAAGGGAAACATGGCCACCGTTACTGAGGCAGTGGCATCGGACTCCTTGGATGTGTGTGGCTGGGGGTTGGCCCTGTGCTCTCTGAGGCCTGTAAGTCCTGGGCACCCCTGGCAGTCTACCACTTTGCTTTTCTCCCTAAGCAAGGGCCACACAGCAGGTTAGGCCCGGCTGAGCTGAGGGTCTGGCTGGACAAGGTCTAAGACAACCCATGGGAGAGCAGGGCCCTTTAAGGGCACTGGGAGGTGGGGTTGCGTTTTCTTCTGACCTGTGTTGAGAAGCTGAAGTAGGAGAAGGGAACCAGGCAGGTGGTGGGGAGAGTGGTTTGGCGATGGGACACCACCAGCAAGACCACCAGGTAGAACCTGGGGTCAGGCTTATTTGGGGCCACAGTGAGAGGAAGGACCTGAGGTTCTCGGGGGAAGGCTGCACTCCGGGGGCTGAGTATTGGGCGCCTGGTGCCGTACAAAGCCTCTTATGAACCGCTCGGTTCTCTAGAGAAGCTGAGAGGGGGGTACAGGGATCGGCTCCTGGCTGAGGGCTGTCCAGGAACTGGCCTCCCTGAAGACAGCCTGCACGGTACAACCCGACTCAGGAGTGGGCCCCAAAAGGTGTAGCTCCAGGGCACATATGACAGTGAGGGCTTGGCCACGGGGCCTCTCCTTTCTGAGCTGCATAACTTGTCCCATTGCTGAATTCAACCCCATGTAGGATCGTTTATGAATTACACACTCCTCAAGCCCTAGAGTCCAGGAGTTCCAGTGTCTCTAGTGTCAAGAACGGAATTTGGGAGACTAGTCTTCTGGGATATTTGACCCCGTGGCTCTGGCAACTCTCTCAACCAGGGAGCCACCCTCTACTGTGTGTTCTTCCCTGCCAGCCATATCCCTCTCCTCGTCCTTGCCCAATGCCATGCTGAGAAGCCATCACCGGCCGGGGCAGTGTGTGTGTGGGGGGGAAGCCACAAGTAAGAGGCCACCTTTTCAAGAGAGAGAGCAGCTTCTGTGGTTTCTCAGCTTCTTCCGGGGACGTTCTCCTAGCTGAGAGACCAAAGGACAGTGTTATACGGGGCAGGAGAGGGTTCAGGGGAATCCTGAAAACACTGAATAGTAAGGACTTTGACTCTGAGTGAGAGTAGACTACTAGAGCCATGCTCTGAGACACGTCTGTGTACAACGTAGACATTTATAAGGTGCAGTTCCATGTCTGTGTACAATGTAGACATTTATAAGTTGTGGTTTCATACCTAACCTCATGATCTTCACGACCACCGTGTGCCTGAGGCAGGACTATGTTATGTGCATTATATGGATAACAGGACTGAGAGATGGATTTGACTCCTACATGGTCAAAAAACTGGGAGTCACAAAGCTAAGGACTCTTGCCCTATCCTCATTACTTATTCCAGGATAAGGTAGAAAAAAATGGAACATTCCTGGGCTTGATGTCCCATCTAAGGATGTTTCTATGAGAAGTGGTGGATTTGGGGAACTGGAACCTCAATGTTTGAAGCCCTGGTTCCTGGTGCCTGATGACAGAGAGGATCAGGATCCTTGGGAATCTCGCTCACAGTGAAGTCAGAGAAAGTGGGGGGACTTTACCTCTCGATACTGCCTCTCTAGTCCTTTGTCGGACTCTTCGGTGACGCTTAAAGACAAAAACATTAAGAGTGTGAACCATTTTCTTTCATGTCCAAAGGGGGACAACACCCATAAACATCACTGATCCTGGTCTGTAAACCATCTCCTGCTCTCCTGCCTTCCCTTTGCCTGCCCCTCCTTTTCACCCCTACATTTCCATGTCTGCTTATTTTGCTTCACTTGAGGTACTTCCATACCCCAGACGTCCACCTTCATCCCCAGGAGAAGTTCTGGAGGGAGTTTAGGATGAGATAGGAGGATGATTTAAACAGATTAAAGGTTAGTGATTCTAGTAGCCAAAGAGCTTTAGCTCACAAAGGCCCTCAATGTCCAAGAAGTGGGGAAATCGCCCACACGGTGAGGTCTTCTGTACCCATTGAGGGAGAACCCAACTCAATCTTTCTAGGCCTCAAGCCAAGCCAGGTAGAGGCTGTCGGCTTTTTAATTATTCTTCAGGACGGGCCTAGTAAGGACTTATTTCCAGGATCTGAAAGGGATGGACTAGAGGAGAATTGCTGAAAGCATGGTATTAAAAAGTAAAACAAAACGGCAGGGTAAGACGAGAAATCAAGGGAATAATGGTTTGTGTCAGGCTTTCCCAGCCAGCCCTAGGCCCAGTGCTTCCCTACCCAGCAGCAGCTCCTGTTATGGCCCAACCTGAGTCCATGCTGGATCTTTTTGACCTGCCAGATAATCAGGACAATAATGAAAATAGAGCCAAAGTTATATAAGGAATAGACAATGTCCCACTGGACATAAGTAGGGCTCATCATGGTCTAAACACAACCAGCACTTAGGAAAGCAGACATCCTGATGCCTAGCACATACAAATCTTTGCCTGATGTCTCCCCCAGTTAGATCTTGTCACCTCTACCTCATACTATGGAACCGAGGCCACTGGACTGCATCACAAAGCCCTCCTGTTTCACAGGCAGGTGTGGTGTCACAGGCCTTTATTCTGTGGGAGCTCAGGTGGGGACTCAGATGGCTCAGCAGTCTTTGTTACAACAATCATGTCACCCCTAACCCTGAAAACTGAGTGTTTAAGTACACAGGGCACCTTATAAGAAAGACTGGTAACTGGGGAACCTCCACCAGTTCCCCCACTTGTGCTGGAAACACCTGACAAGCAGAGAGGTGAGGATGGGCAGAGTCTGAGGAAGGCCTCATGCTTAGCTCCCATGATCACGAGTTCAGGAACAGTTTTACTAGGTTCTCTGGTCAGGGTCTCACCAAGCTTCTATCAGAGTATCAGCCGGGGCTGTGGTATCATCGAAAGCTGCCAGGCTCCTGGCCTTGTCAGAATTCATTCCACTGTAGCTACAGCTCTCATGGACGTTTGTGGCTTTGTTCACAGCAGGAAGAGAGAGTCTCTGAGCTCAGAGAACCTAAGCTCTCTTTTAAAGAACTCACCTGCTTCGGTCAGGCTCACCCACAATAATCTCCTTTTTGAATAACTCAAAGTCAAACTGGGGAATCCCGTTACATCTATAAAATGCACTCACCTTTGCAATATAATGTAACCAAATGACGGGAATGACATTGCCATATTCACAGATACCACCCACCCCCAATTAGAAGGGCTTATAAGGTGTATACCCCAAGGGTAGGAATGTGGGGAGCCAAAGCCCTACAAACAGGGAAGGTGTTTTCCAGAACCCACTACTGCTGCTCTCTGCCTCCTGCTTCAGACATTCATGCCACCTGCTTGGCCCCTGTTCACTTTCTGGGAGCATCCAACACTCAGGGTTTCTGGTTTTCATAAGAAGATCTGTCCTGCAGGGACGCACGGTCAGAATTCTTGGGCTAAAAGTCTCTGAAGACCGCCTTTCAGCATCCGTCCCTGGGGGCATGCAGTGCGTGTTCAGATCTGAGCTAGGCAGTGTGAAGGGCACAACAGGTTCTTCTTTAACATTTCTCCATTCTTTTCATGGAGGCGTAATTTAAATACAATAAAATTCACCCTTCTTAGTGTATAGTTATGGTTCTGGAAGTCTCTGACAAATGCATGTCGTCATACAGTCACCATCACAATTAAGATACAGAACACAACAAGAAACATTGTACCACTTGCAGTCAGTCCCTGCTGTTATGTTGTTAGGTGCCGTTGAGTCATTTCCGACTCATAGCGACCCCATGCACAGCAGAACGAAATACCGCCTGATCCCGCGCCAGCTCCATGGTCCCTGCTATACTTGAGCCCATCATCGCAGCCACCGTGTCAATCCATCTTTTTGAAGGCCTTCCCCTCTTTCATCGACCCTCCACCCTATCAAGCATGACATCCTTCTCCAGGGAATGGTCCCTTCTG